GCAGGAGAGGAAGGTCCTCTATGAGGTGGATTGATTCAGTGACTGGGATAATTGGGATGGGAGTGTCAGAGACAGTGCCAATGCACAGGATAGAGCGTAGTTTAGGGCTGTTGTACGTAGGGTCGCTATGAGTCGCAGGCAACTCGATGGCACATAACAACAACAACAACATTATTGTCATGACAGGAGCCCAGAATGAAGGCTGCATAGTGGAGTGGACTTGTATAACAATGAAAAAATTTGTCTTTTACTTTTCAAAGAGAAGAGATAATTTGAGGGGAGGGGTCATCAGGGAGAAAAGTGAAACAATGAATGAATGGAAATCCAAAGTGTCTATAAACTTTCATTAAAATTAATTTTAAAAAAGAATAAATTCAAGCCATGAATTGCAATGCTTAAAGAAGCTATGGGAAGAATATTGAATGATTCAAGAAGGATTAAAAGAATGGAAGGAGTATACAGAGTCACTGTGCCAAAAAGAATTGGCAGACACAGAAGAATTTCAGGAAACAACATATGAGCAAGAGGCAAAGGTGAGGAGGAAGTTCAGGCTGCTCTGAAGGACTTGGCAAAAAATAAAGGCCCAGAAATTGATAGAATACCAATTGGCATGTTTCAGCAAACAGATGCTGCCCTGCATGTGCTCACCAAGGTGTGCCAAGAAATCTGGAGGACAACCACTTGGCTAACTGGAAAAAAGATGACCCGACAGAGTGTGGAAATCCTGGTACAATATCACTAATATCACACACTAGTAAAATTCTGCTGATTATCCAGAAAAGACTTGAACAGTACATTGACAGAGAACTACCAGAAATACAGGCTGGGTTTAGAAGAGGTTGTGGCACTAGGGACATTATTGCCAATGCCAGATGCATCTTGGCAGAAAGCAGAGAGTACCAGAAGAATGTCTCTCTGTGTTTCATTGACTATGTAAAGGCATTTGACTATGTGGATCACATAAGTTGTGGCTAACGTTGAGGAAAATGGGACTCTCAGAACACTTGATCATGTTTAGAGGAAACCTATGCTTGGACCAATAAGCAGTCCTCAGAACAGAGCAAGGAAATCCTGCATGGTTCAACATCAAGAAAGGAGTGTGTCAGGGATGCATCCTGTCCTCATACCTTTTCAATATGTATGCATAACAGATCATTCGGGAAGCAGGGCTTTATGAGGCGTGTGACATCAAGATTGGAGGGAGACTCATTAACAACCTATGATATGCAGATAACACAACCTTGCTTGCTGAAACTGAAGAAGACCTGGAGCACTTGATGCAAAAGTTCAAGAACTGTAGTCTTCAATATGGATTGAAGCTCAACATCAAGAAAACAAAGATTCTCACCACTGAGCCAATTGGCAGCACCAAATTAGATGCAGAAGAGATTGAGGTTGTTAGCAATTACAGCTTTCTTGGATCCACAATCACCATTCTTAATGCCAGCAGTCAGGAAATAAAAAAATGAATTGCATTGGGAAAATCTGCTTTCGTGGACAGTTCCAGCGTGCTGAAAAGCAACAATGTCAGTCTAGAAACAAAGATGTACCTAATCCAGGCCATGGTTTTCTCAATTACTTGTTATACTTCAGAGTTGGACATTGACTAAGCATGACAGAAGAATAGATGCCTTCGAGTTGTGATGCTGGAGAAGGGTCATGAATATACCATGGACTGCCAAGAAAACAAATAGGTCTGTCTTGGAGAGGGTGAAACCAAGTCTCTCCTTGGAGGCTAGGACTCTGAAGCTCTGCCTAACTCATTTTAGGCACATGGCCAGGGAAGATAGGTCCTTAGAGAAGGACATCATGCTTGGAATGGTGGGTGGACAGCGCAGGAGAGGAAGACCCAGAGTGAGATGGGTTGATATAGTAACTGGGGCAATGGGGGGTTTGGTGAATTAGTGTGAATTAATCAGTTAGTGAGACTGGCTCAGGAAAGGGAAAGGTTCAGAGCTGCTGTACATAGGGTTGCTGTACATCGCAGGCGACTCAACCAATAACATTCTATGACAAGTTTGGAAGCAGGAGTGGTGTCCACTTCCTAAATGTCTCCAGAAATTCTATGGATTTTGATAAATGTCGATAGTTGTAGAGGGGCTTCAGGCCTTTTGTTCATATGGTTGCTATGAGTCATGGTCCACTCAAAGGCAATCAACAGTAATAACAATCTTCAGAAATAGGTTGCCAGGCTTTTATTTTAGTCTCTACTCTGTGGTTTTCATAGTTACTTGCCATGTGTCAGAGAGATAGATGATGACTAAGGATGAAAGAAGAAGAAGTGATGCCTTTGAGTTGTGGTTCTGGAGAACAGTGGTTGAACTACATACCATTGACTGCCAGGAGAACAAACAGGTCAGTTCTGAAGAGGGTGAAACCAAGCTGCTTTCTGGAGGCAAGATTTTTGAAGCTCCATCTCATATACTCTGGCCATGTGGCCAGGAGGGATCAGACCTTGGAGAAGGACATCATGCTTGGAAGAGTCGAAGGACAGTAGGTGCGGAAGCCCCAGGATGAGATGGATTGGGTCTATTGGAAACGATGAGATTTGACTCAGGATTCAGGGCAGAATTCAGAGCTGTTTTACATAGGGTCACTGTGAATCACAGGTGATGTGATTGCACAAAACAACAGCAACAACAACTCCACAAGCCTCCAATGAAAATGGTCCTCCGTAGACAATATTTGACATATTAGATTCAGACCTTCTGGCATCACGGACATATGCAAGCCTCCATATAAAAAATGATTTCTAGGCAAATTCAAATTCACCCCAGTCAAGTAGGTTTTGACTCTGGTGGATCTAGACACAGTCTTTTTGGTAATCAGCCCAACTCCCTACAGGCTATACCTCCAAAGCTTATTGACTTACAGACTTCATTTTTACTGCTGTGGAGTGGGCTTTGCTCCAGCGACTTTCTTTCTATGTGGTGTCTCAGGTTGGAAATTACACCCAGAGGAGATGGCCTTTGTCCTATAGACCCATTAGTGGATTTGAATGCTAGAGAGGGGTTTTCTTTGGGTTAGCAGTACAATCCCTGCTGACTATGCCATCAGAGTTCCCTGACGAAGATTCATTATCATCTTATTTCTTTCAAGTTGGAGCTGATTTCTAGCTGACTGTCCAGCAGGTTTTCAGAACCTGCAAATCACAGAGGGGAGGAGATTGACCAAATTGACATACAGGCTTGTAGGTCTTAATCTTTTCAAAGTGGTCAGGTTCTTCTTGAGATATTGTTGAGATTTTTGCATTCTTTTCCTCGAAGTGTGAAATCCAATTGTGCAGAGATTCTAGATAATTCTGTAAACCCCATCCCTGAGCCTCTAGACTACATTGAAAACCCAAAAAGGAAAATGCTTAGTTTTGACAGTAGATTTGAGGTCACAAGGGGAAGGAAAAGTTGCAGAATCAGAAAGAATTCGGAAGGACAGAGAAAGAGAGGAAGACCCTCAGCGAGATAGATTGACACAGCGATTGTATGTATGTCAGAGATGAGGATGGCACAGAATAGGACAGGGTTTTGACCTCTTGTTCCTAGGTTCGCTAAGAGTTGTACCCGTCTCGACGGCATATAAAAATAATAAATCCTGGACTTCTAGAACCAAAATGGTAGAAAAGGATAGGTAGAGATAGAAAAGAGGAGTTTAGTTCTATTTAGAGTCTTCTAGAGATGGTGAGGATGGCACAGGATAGGACAGGGATCAGATCTATTCATTGGATTCATTAAGAGTCTTCCTCGTCGGGAATGCAGCTAACAACAAAGGATAACTTTAACATTTCTTTTACTTATGCCATTTAAACTCTGGTGGCGTACTGGTTAAGGAGTTGTGCTGTCAATCCAAAGGCTGCTAGTTGGAATCCACCAGCCGCTGCGGAGAAGGGCAATAGCTGCTAGAGATTTGTAGCCTTTGACACCCGCTTGATGGCTCAGCTATGAGTCGGTTACGAATCGACAGCAGCGAATGAGTGAGTGATTTCATTTTAATGCCAGTATAATCCTATGATGGTAAAAGTGAAGCTCCGAGGGTCCTGAAATCTTATCTGAAACAACAGTTTACGGACTTACAGAAAACGCTAGAAGCCAAACTCAAGAATTCTAAGGAGAAACTGGGCTGGCCAGATAGAGGAAGGGGCAGAGCCGCGCACGCGCACTGTTACCTCAGCGCTGACGTATCCGGGCTGTCGCTCTCTGCTTCTCTAGCCTTCAATCCAGTACGGTGGCCGAGGAGAGTCATACACTGAGGATGAATGAAGGTGCTGGGACAGGTTGAGGCAGTTCCATCCGCTGTCCTTCCTTTCTAGTATCGGTTCTGGCCTTGTGCAGTGCCCCTACACTGTCCCCATCGCAGCATCGACCCAGTGCCTAGGTTATTGGTGTCTGGTCTACTCTAGGTGCAGCTAGAGTTGTGGATCCGGATTATCGCCTAGGCCCAACTTCGGACCGCGCTCTCGATTTCTGCCGCGACCCGCTTCTAGGACGGGGAGGTGGTGTAGGGCTTTCGGTAGGCTGGTGGGTAAATCTTAAGATGAAAAGCAACCCTTTTTTTCAGGATGTAACTTGCCTCTCGGTCTATACTTGCACCCTGCCCTACTTTTTCTCCGCTTTAATAGCTGGTTCTGGTTTTCGCCCAAGAGCCCACGGTTCTTGGCTCTTCAGCTCCAGCAGTCGGCCCCTCTGCTTAAAAGCAAAACATTTCTGCATATGAGTCCTACTATTATGCATGTCTTACAAGGCATGGTTTTGGCTACTGAGCCAGGGTCTTTTTTATTTCTTTTTCTTCCCTCCGACGAGAGAGAAGTGCCCAAGTGTGTGTGACTCGCCTTTCTCACCTACATGCTACTTTTTTTAAAAAAACCCAACAAAATAAAAAGTAATAACACGGGACATAGGATAGTGTTTGGCATCTTTTCTAACCACTGTGATAATTTTCTCTTGGCTCTTCCACTGACTCAAGAGTAGGAGAGAGAAACCCATCGAGTCTCTACATATGTTGGGCAATCATATGAAACTAAAGCTCTACAAAGAAACACTTTCTGAACTTTGGCAGTTCAGTTCATTTTACATGCCTTCCAGAGTCGTATGAACTTGTTTGCGTTTTTGGTTTTTTTTTTTCCCCTGAACATCCCCCAATGGGCAAAATGTCATGATTTCATTGTATGTATTAATGGGCATAGTGGAGAAAGTCTTGAATTGAGATTTAGCAGATGAGAATTCAGTCTTGGATGCCGTCCCCCTGTCATGATACAATGTTGAACCCTTTACTTTTTATTGTCACATAGAAGCCTTTATATGTGCCAGTACCAATGCCAAGATACAGACTTTTAAAAGGACCTCCTTAAGGGTGATTTGGGGTTTATCCCCAAAGTGGGATATTCATACATGTGAATTTATATATTTTTAAAATTTTTTTAACCCATTAGGATTAACAGTGATAATGACTGAGTGTACAAGCCTGCAGTTTGTCAGCCCTTTTGCGTTTGAGGCAATGCAGAAGGTGGATGTTGTTCGTCTGGCGTCCTTAAGTGATCCAGAATTAAGACTTCTGTTACCGTGCTTGGTACGAATGGCACTTTGTGCTCCTGCTGACCAGAGCCAAAGCTGGGCTCAGGATAAAAAACTTATCCTTCGCCTTCTGTCTGGAGTGGAAGCAGTCAATTCCATTGTTGCTCTCTTATCAGTGGACTTCCATGCTCTAGAGCAAGATGCCAGCAAAGAACAGCAGCTAAGGTAATGTTACAGTGTATAATGTGTGGATTAGAATTTACATACATTTGCCATAAAAACAGGGAACAAAATATTCTGGACATTTTGTTTTCTTGCAGTTACAGCTACAGTTTATAGGTAGCATTTCTAATTCATTTCTTTGACTTACACTATCTAATTTTGAGAAAACTGCAATTAGTCTATTGTAAGTGGATGCAGTCCTTCAGAGAAAGAGAATCCAATCTTTGGAGAACATTTTGCATATATTTTCTCTATGTGTAGTTAAAAATTTAGACAGTTTTGTAGCTCATAGAATGCAGAGAAGAATTTAGTATTTGTGGGCTTATTGATTAGACCTACTTTCAATGGGAAGTGAGTAAGGCACATTCTTCTGTAGTGGAAGGATTTATTAACATCATCTAGGAGACTTAGTAAAGTTAGATTAATTCTCAAATTTTCCATTGATTCTGAACAGGTGTTATATTATTTTCTACCCGTTGTGAATTTGATAGTAAGTCATAGCAGTTAATGGAAGTGAATGCTGTCAGTTGTGATGGAGTCTATACCCAAAATAGACAAATGATACTTTGAAATAAGAGCATATAGAAATCTTACATTATTTTGTGGGCTGTGTCAGTTAATAGTAATTTTTACACTATTGTTTCCATACCAGTGTTCCCATAATTTAACTTGTTTATTCTTCCATTAGGCATAAACTTGGAGGAGGTGGTGGAGAGAGCATTTTGGTTTCACAGCTTCAGCATGGACTTACGTTAGAGTTTGAACACAGTGATTCACCTCGTCGACTGCGTCTTGTCCTTAGTGAATTGTTGGCAATTATGAACAAGGTACATTATTTTAATTATAGCTTAAAATATGCATGATTATCAAATAGAAGGTGGATGAAATGGACAAGAAGGTAAGCAGGTTGCAGTCTCTTCTATTTCATTTGCAAGTGTTTTCTTTTCAGAGCCTGGGAGGATATTAAATACTTTCTCTTGCGCTGCTAACTGCAAGATCACGAGAGGTAGAATCTTATTACTCTTGGGAGAAAAAGAAAACTTTTGAAATTCAGTGAGGCAGCTCTACTTTGTCCTGTGGGGTTGCTACAAGTTCGAGCCGACTCAATGGCAGTGGGTTTTGTTTAGTTTTCTGTAGAGATTTTATTCTCTCATTTATGCCTATTCCTTTTGCTCTGTCATAGGGGTTATAAGAAACTATTATTCTATATGGAAAAACAAACTATAATTTATTACAACTGAGTTTTCTACAAAATACAGAATTCCGTTGTTTTGGACATACACAGTGGCTTTTTGATGTTAAAATATATATTTGAAGACAAACACATTAAGAAATTTTTTCCCCATTTTTCTTACACCTAACCATATAACTGGCCTTCTCTTGAGACTTTAATTTTTTCATTTTGATGCCTTTGCATATGTGATGGTGAAGGTTGTTTTAAAAAAGTAATTAGCTACTTTCAATAACTGTTCATTCTTTGCTTTTTCTTATTGTTGATTTGTGATTGAACTTGCATTTATATACTTCTCTAAGTTTACTGGGCTTTTTTGTTGCTTATTTTGTTTGTTTGCAGGTATAATTTATAGGTAACATTCCTCTTCATTTCTTTGATTTGCCCTCATTCTAAGACAGATGTACAGTCTACTCCTGTTTAGCTTACAGCCTTTGAAAACTTGCTAGAGGGTCAGCTATGAGTCAGTTCTGACTTGACGGCGTATAACAACAAGAACAACATCTAATTCTAGAAAACTCCAAATATTGAGTAGAAATTAATTCTTGAGCTTGATACAATAATGTCTGAAAAAGAATTCTGTGACTGTTGTTGTGTATCACCAAGACCAGGGTTGGTTTGCCCATCATTCTCTTGTGGAGTAGCTGGTAGATTGAAACCACTCATCTTGGGTTGACAGTATAATTCCTTACCGCTAAGCCACCAGAACTCTTTCTTTCACTACTAGTTATGATTAAATTGTTTAGAATTGATCAAATATTGCATATTGTATTGTTTATTAGCTATGTACTCTGAGGCATGGTTGAAAGTAGATTTAATTTAAAAGTAAGATGGTATTACTAGAGTTAATTTTTTTTCTTTCTCTTTTAGGTATCTGAAACCAATGGGGAGTTTTTTTTAAAGTCTTCTGAGCTCTTTGAGAGTCCAGTCTATTTGGAGGAGGCTGCGGATGTGCTTTGTATTTTACAAGCAGGTACCATCTTGAATGCTAAGATACATTTCAGATATAGTTTCTTGTTAAGAGATACTGTGTAGTTTTTAAACCAAGATTAATTCATTATTTTAAGAAGAATCTAATAAAAAAATAAACCTTAAAAGTTTGAATAAAAAGGACTGTGATAGGACAATAAGTAGATAAGAAGGAGCCCTGGTGTCTCAGTGGTTAAAGCTCTCAACTGCCAACTGAAAGATTTCTGGTTTGTGCCTACCAGCCACTGTGCAGGAGAAATATGTGGCAATCTGTTTATGTAATCCTGTGGTGCGATTCTGCTTTGTCCTGTACAGTTGCTATGAGTTGTTATCTACTCTATGGCAGGGGGTAATATTTGTTGTTATGTGCTGTTGAGTTGCCTGTGACTCATAGCGATCCTGTGTACAATAGCTCTGAATCTTTGCTCTATCCTGAGCCAATATCACTGACTCTGACACACCTAATCCCATCACCCCAGTTATCATGTCAGTTCATCTCATCTGGGGTTTTCCTCTCTTGCACTGTTCCTCCACCCTTCCAAGCATGATCTCTTTCTCCAAGGACTGGTTCCTCCTGGCCACGTGCCCAAAGTATGTGAGATGGAACTTCAAAATCCTAGCCTCTAAGGAGAAATTTGGTTTCACCCTCTCCAAGATAGACCTGTTTGTTCTCCTGGCTGTCCATGCCATACTCTTCTCCAGCACCACAACTCAAAGACTTCAATTCTTCTTCTGTCAAGTAAATTATGTAATTTCTATACTATGACATTATATGTTAAGATGATGTATTTGAAGAAATTGGATGATTTTGGAAAATTATCAGTATATTAAATGACCAAGCAAAGAGCCAAATGGTGAGTAGACTGTAACATAGGTTTTATTTAAAGTGGAAACAAAACAGTACCCGTGGAAAGAGTAAAATTACTGCAAATTCTTAACTTTAATGAGTGAATTAGAGTTGATAATAATTTTCTTGTTCTCTCCTTTTTCTGTATTTCATTTCTATAATAACCATATTTGATTAAAATGAAAAGATAAAGGACATAAAAATGCAAAGATTTTCATGAAATTACAGTCTAGGCCAGTACTGTGCCGTAGAACTTTGCAGTGATGGAAATGCTCTGTAATTGTGCTGGCCAATACAGTAGCCACTAGACACACAGGGCTGTGGAACATGTGAAATATGGAAAGTGGAATTGAGGTACTGAATTTTTGTAAATTTTCTTTAATGTTATACTTTATTTAAATTTTTCAGCTAGTGGTTATCCTACCGAACAGCTCAGTTTTAGCTTATGATGAGAAATTGTTGTACTTTGAATAACTTTAGATAACATCTGTGAAATATCAAATGACTTTTCATGTATAATTCAATGAAACATCATGTCTTGTGACACTGACTTTGCTTTCTTACAGAACTCCCATCCCTGCTTCCTATAGTTGATGTAGCTGAAGCCTTGCTACATGTTAGAAATGGTGCCTGGTTCTTGTGTCTCTTGGTGGCCAATGTTCCTGATAGTTTTAATGAAGGTAAATAGACTTTAAAAATGAGATACTCATCAGATTTGCTTAGCTTGTATAGGAACTATTTTATTATTTTTTCCTTTTTTTTGTTTTTTGAGCTAAGAAGAAACAATGTTTCTGGATTTTATTTGAGATTTTTAACTACTGAATTTTAATAAGTGTCCATGTAGAAATAATCAAATTTGCATTGAAATTTCAAATTTATATTTGTAATCAGTATGTATCCATATAATGCTA